GTGGCAGGGCCTGGCGCTCTGGGTCTGATGAGGGCTCGGGCCAGCCAGAGGAGCAGACAACTCACATCCTATGTGCTCCCGGACAAGGCTGAGGTGGTACCCAGGTTCCCCACCTCCCAGGACGGCCACCCTGCCCCAACCCATGCAGCCAACAGCCCCACCACCTCCCGGGGGGCCTCTCTGCAGGTCAGCCACTGCACCCAGCCCCTCGAGAGGAGGCCTGCCCCTCGACCCCTCAGAGCCACTCGTCCTGGAGACCACTGAGTTCCCTGCACAGCCGGCACCAAGGCCACACCAGGGCCACTGGTCACTCCTCCCAAGGGCAAGGCCATGGCCTGGGCCTCACAGGCACCTTGCTGCGAGCCACGCCCCAACGAGCGCGGGTAACGGGCACTGCCACCCACGCGAGGCCGGAGCGCACCGGCAGAAGGCCCGGGCCTCCTCCTGCGCCCTGGGCTCTCGGGCCTGCACAGAGCCACCCTCCACAGCCGGGGGGAGGGTTCTGCGTGGTGCTCCAGCAGGAGGGAGCTCTGCTGGAAGGTCCTCACGGCCTGCTCGTGACTATAAACCCAGCAGGAGGCCGGGGAAGGCGGGTCCCGATGCGATCAGGCACTTATCTGATGGCCCATAAATCAGGTTCTCGAGGGCCACGCCACCTCGGGAATGTGCCCAAAGCTGCAGATTTATGCACCAGACGGGAGAACGCGGGCGACACAGCTCTGGACCAGACAAACGGGAGCAGCCCGGGCCCCACGGTGCCGGCTCTGAGGCCTCCCCGAGCGCCCCTCGTCCCCGGGTCTCCATCTGGGATGTGTGGGGACAGCATCGCAGCACCACGGGTGAGTGAGAGTGTGCGTGACGAGGACAGGGTGCCCAAAGAGACCCCGGACACAGCAGGAGCTCCTAACAGCCGCTGTAACAAGACCCAGTCACCTAGTCACTGGTGAGCACCAGGGGAGGGCCCAGGCCCGGTGACTCCCCAGCCCTGAGACTGTGGCTCCTTGGGGCCACAGGCAGCTTGAGTCTGCTGACGCCCAGGCTCACAGGTGGACAGGCTGAGGGGGCTTTAAGAAGGAGTCAGCACTTCCTGGACAGTCTCGAGGACCGGCAGAGGGCACTGCCTGCGGCCCCGCAGGGTGCCACAGCTGCTGACAGTCTCGGCTCCTGCACACACTGCCCCCTCCAGCCGGGCACATGGTCTGCTGAACACTCTTCAGGTGTCAGCTGGACACCCACCCACTCGAGCCTTGCCTGGCGCCCATGGCTGGGCCAGGCACCTCCTCTGGGCTCCCACAGTGCCCTGGGCTTCTCCAAGCCAGCAATGACCACAGCTGGGGGCCGGCCTGTCTGACAGTCACTTTGAATGGACGGAGGGCCACAGCTGGCCGCTGTGTGCCCAGCGCTCAGCATGGGGCCAGGCACCAGGGGCGGTGAGCCCAGCGAGTGAGTGATCCCAGGCACGAATCGAGGCTCACTGCACAGTGGTGACCTCGAGGGGGCCTGGAGCCTCGAGCTGCATGGCAGGGCCCCGCCTCTGGCCAGGCTCCACGCCTGGTGCACACTGATCCCTGCCCACCACGTGCTTGCCCCGCCCAAGGTTCCCCCTTCAGGAGCAACGCTGCACTCACCACCTCCAGCGAGCCCACCCTGACTGCATGGGGCGGACAGAGGGACCAGGTCTGGGTACATGCCTCCCCCAGCCAGGCCCACGCTTCTTCTGCCCCTCGCTGGCCTATAGGAACAAAGTCTACACCGGAAACCAGAAGTTCAGGTTCCAGGCTGGCACGTGACTGTGGACAAGCCCTGGACCCTCTAGGCCTGTTTCTCCACCTGCGCAAAGAAGCATGGGCCGAGCTCTCTAAATAAACACGCGCCCAGATCAGAAGGCCTGATGGGCGGATGCCCATTCGGCCCAGGACCGCCCCTCAGCTCACAGGAGGCTCCCCTCTGTGGGGTCCACAGACCCACCGCCCCTCGCCGGGGGCTGCCACCCAGCCCCAGCCCCACCCCCACCAACACTGCACTCCACACGCGCTCACAGCCTCAAGGAGGAAATCCTGCAGGACCGTGTGGCCTTGCTAGAGTTTCAGTTTCTTGACAACAACAATTGATGGGTGCTGAAGAGCAAAAAAAAAAAGAATGAAATGGGATGAAATCTGCAGCCCGGGGACTCCGCCAGGAGACAGTGGGAGAGAGGCAGGCAGACACAAGCCACGTGCGGACCACGGGAGCAGCCACAGTGCAGAATGGACCACACGGATCCTGACCCCAGACAGCACCTCCCAACCCCACGAGGCCCCGGGCATGAGACTCAGAGAGATGCGGCCCATCCCAGACCCCAGGGTGGATGCAGACCAAAACCTAGAGAAGACGCCCAGAACACAGGAGCCATCAAACCTGCAGAGGGGGAGACAGAGACCCCCAGACAGCAAGGGGAGGCGAGGAGCCCCCTCTGGGCTTCCACGCTGCCTGCCCCCACCCACCCCGAATAAATGTCCTCAATGAAATGGGCCCATAAACCCAAGCCCGAGAGGCCCACGGCCCGTCCCTCTACTGTGAGGACCTGGGGTCACCAGGCACTCTCACCCAGGCTCACAAGAGCAAGCAGAGCATGGGATGGCCTGGCACCCAACAGGCTTAGGGACATCCTGATGGACGTCTTGATGGTCTTATTAGAGTTCCCTGCCCTCCCACCCCTGAGTCAGCACTGTCCCCTCCAGGACGTGACCGTCTCCTCACCCAGCAGAGCACCAGGCCCCAGGTGCACCCACTCTCCTGGGCTGGCTGCCTCCGGTGACCCCCTACCCCCCACCTCCAACCTCGGCCCTCGATGTGTTTCTGCCTCTCCACCTTCCAGAGCCCACGCACCTGGCCCGGGCCCACTACGACCTTGAAGAGGCCTTGACCAATGCCTGTCCCCAGCGGGGCCGGGAGCAGCCCGCAGGCAGGACCAAAGTTGTGTCTCCTCTAACCCAGAGCCTGGCATACAACAGACGCTCAGTAAAGGCACGGTGGGTGAGCCCACAGCCCAGGGGACAGGCTGCCAGCACTGCGGCAGCTGCCTCTGGAGGGAGTGCGCGCCCCGTCATCAAAGGTTCGCAAACGCGACGGCCACCG